ATATCAATTATAATTTCACTCTTTTCTCATTAATGATTGTACTTCACTTAATTTATTAGATACTGGTAATCTAAGATTGATTTCTGATTTAGTTTGTCTAATAAGTTCTTGTCTAGAAGTAGTTTAAGTTGATTTAAAAACATCATCAATTTTGGAGTTAAAACTTCTTACAGTTTATGGTCTCATAGGATGAACATACTTAGATACTTGATTAAACATAGGGCCTATTTCAATATTACGTCTCTTTTTTTTATCTCTTGAACCTAAACTCATTTATCTCATTTTATAAAATGCACTGCTTTTTATTTTATTGGCAGAAGCACCTCTAGAAATACATAATGAAACTGGAAATTGAATTTATCGAGATGTTGTTGTTGTTGCTTCTTCTACTTAATTATCTGTCTTCTATTTTGATATGTGAGTTGGAATGTGACTATATTATTATTATTTTTCTGATTCTTATTCTTATTCCTAATCATCGTCTTTCTTTCTATGTATTTTTTATAAGTAATCTATAATATTTATGAATGGTGTTTCAATATTACGCGGAGATCGTAATTATTAAATTTAGTTTAAGATATGCATAGAGAATTTCTTGCCTGTCATTTTTTATTTGAGGGAACGATGCTTACAATTTTGACATAGATCTGACATACTTTAATTTATGTATTTCAATATTATTAAAATTAAATTCATTTCCATATTTTGATTGTATGATCCTTGCTACCAGTAATAAGATAACCATCCTCTCCATCTAAATAAATCATGTCAGTTATTCTATCTTAATGTTCTATTTGATTAAAAGTATTTAAAGGATTTCTAATTTCATAATCCTCAATTATGAAAACATCCCCCTTCATATATTATTTGAATTTCCTATTTAAGTTATATGGCGAACAAATCACATTAGTTTGGAATTCCTTTATTATTGAAATTATTTTACTAACTCATATTTATTAGCATCACTATTCAAAGTTCAGCTTTAAACACTTCTATCTTTAGTAGCTGTAATTATGGTATTTTCTAATCTTTGATTATATCCTCTTCCACTCAAACATAACAAAGATCTTATACTGGTTGTATCATCAAATGAATAATCTACATAATTTTTCTACATATTTTCTATTAATTATTTTTGAACAGAAAAAGAAGATAAATTCATATTTTATTTCTAGATTAGAAATTGTCTTTAATAATAACTATCATTTTAATTTCTATCTATTTAATTTCTTTTTAGCTATTCTAAAATATACTCTACATTTAAAACCTACTTAAGCTTTGGAATCTCTATTTAAGTATTTCTATTTAAATTTTCATAATAAATAATAGAATTAAAACCAGTTAATTTTATTAGTATATATTTAATATAAGCCTAAATACGTTTGTATAAAAGAAAAAGCCTATGCATTGTTTTAAGACTGTTCTTTTATTTAACATGATTATTTTTATCATTATTTGGTTAATTACTTCTGATTGTTTTGAGAAAGAAAATCTTCATGACTTAAATTTTGATAAGAACTTTAAGTTATTAGATTAAAACAAAATTTATACTCTTATATAAACTTAAAGAGTAATAAAATAGATAATTCATGAAATTTTGATACTATATATTTCTTTCCTTTTCTAGAATCACAAAAAACTTGCTTTTTGGCTGTATTCTTATTCTAAAAACAATGTAAAAAATAAGGTTGGTTGTATTATGTTTTTATTGATATTGATATCAAAGAATGCAACCTCATTATTTAAGGATTAATAAGCAATGGCAATTAATTTATCACTAGTTGAATTTAATCCTTCTAGTAATGAATTTCGATTCATTTAATATAAATTAAAGATTGGTAATGGTTTATCATCTTTAGTCATTAATTGATATATATTCATTTACATCATTCATCTATTGTCATATAATATTAAAAAACCATTAACTGTGCTTAACATTGTATTATTATTATCATGAACTAAACTAGGCGCTAAAAGGCATTTAGTATTGACACTTAATTATTATGTTCTTCTTGTTCTGATGTCTTCAAGAATCAAAAATCCTTTTTCAGTTACATGGCAAAAGGCATTATCATAATCTACTATTTTCTTTATTCCTGAATCATCTTTTGTAAAAGGTGTTACTTTTACTTAATTCTTATATTAACTAACTTAACCAGAGTTTGTACCAACAATAAAACTGTCTGCTCCTTCTAAAACATATATAGTATTTAATCTTTCAAGCTTATTTTGATCATCCATTATTTGTATTGAATGCAAACTACCACAAGTAAAATCTTCTTAAATTTTATTCATTTCATAAAATCTTATTGTTCCATCATAAGAGGCTGAAATAAATCTGTTTTGATCACTATATTTTTATAAGGATGTCACTATGTCTTTGTGTTCAGGAATAGTAGTGACTAATTATTTTTTTAATTTGAATTATTTTACAATCTTTTGTTCTACACTTTTTTCATATTAAATTTCAGTCTATTGGATTTAATACGATTTCTATATGAATTAATTCATAATAATATTAAAACTGATAAAATTGATCCGTTAAGTGCTAGATTTAAATTATTATTACTCTACAAATTTGTTTTTGAAATTCTTGTAATTTTTGTAATTTTGTAAATCTATACCCAAGTTAATTTTACTAAAATTATTGAAATCATTCCAAGTTTTCTACTTTTTAATAAATTCTGTCAAAATAATATAAGCATTTTATTTAAAAAATTTTAACTTAAAGTATGCTTCAAAAAACTCAAATAATTTTTAAGAAACATTTGATGATGGCAGGTTTTAAATTTTATCAGTTTTTTAAATAGAGATTTCAGAGTATGGTTTTGATTCAATATATACTCCTCTACATAATTTTTCTAATTATATTAAAGTCTATTTAAATTTATATAATTTTTCAAACTGATGATTCTCCTACCAAAACTTTTAACTAATGGGCTTCTAAACTAAATTTTTAAAAATTTCTTCATCCAAATTAGGCACATTCTCTTTTAAATACTTTTTAATATGAGGAAGTATATGTAAATAAATATCTAAGCTGTTAAAAGTTTTTAATTAAATAGTAATAAAATGTTAGGCTTCATCTCTAACCCATCTATTATGATGTAAAACTAATGGAGATATTTCTTTTATAAACAATTTAATTTAATCTAATTCAAGCAATTATTAATCAGAAGCTTTCCTCAATATTCTTAAAGTATAAAAAAGAGCCTATTCTTATATGGTGTTCAATGGTAAACAAGTTAAGAATGTTTTCTTCATATCTTTCTTTGCATAATATTTTAGAATATCAAATCCTACTTCCAATAATGGAATTTTAAGATAGGATTTATTCAATTATGCAATTAAAGTTTCATAATTTCCACCGTTTAAAATGTGTCATAGTATTTGAATGCATTTTTAAAATTCTAAATTATGATAATAGATTCTTCTTAATTATCATCTTATAATTTTTTTTATCATTTATAAGAAATGATCCTTCTTCTCAATTCTATTTTATCATTATAAAACTAATGCTATATCTCCAATCTTAATCCCTAACATTGGATTTTAACTCATATCTTGTAATCTAGTTTTAATTTGTCCACAAATATATAATTTAAAAATGAATGCTTCAGTTTAAGAACTATATGGATAATTACTTCTTTTCAATAAATCTAAAAAAATAGAAAAGGCATATAATTATGTTTATCCTTCATAATCTTCACAAAATTAACCCAAATTAGGAATGATGAGTTTATACATTGATGAATCATCGATGAATTCTAGAAAATATTCCGCTAATTCTAAACCACATAATCTGGTTTATAAAAATCTACAATTCCTAATTGAATTAAATATCCATAATATAAATAAGATGTATTCATTCTAACTTTTATTTATATTATTCTTGACACTATCGAATAATATATTTCGACCACTTTATTTGGATTTCTAACCTCAAATTTTTGAAAAATTCTAAGACATAATATTATGTTATGAAAGTAAGGAATTGGCATCATCATCAGAGTTTTACATTTCACTTTAATATAAATTAAGTTTTCTGAATTTTCAATTTAACCTGCCAATGTAATACTATTTTAAGGAGTTTTAAACCTTATTTCAGGCAATTTATTTGGATGTTCTGATTGAATATTTATACTATTGAATTGTTTCAAAGAAATAAATTATAAAGGGATTGGCATAACATAATTCCATTATTAGGATTAAAGTGAAGTAACAATTTGTCTGAATCAAGCAATTCTGACATCAGGATACATAAACTCTCCTTTAAAATTAATGGCATAACAAACCTTTTGAATTAATTCATAAGTATCATATTCACAAATTGAATTATAAAATATATTAAATGCTTCTTTAGCAGTATAACGTTTATTTGCATTTAAATCAATTAGATTGCATATTAAATTTCTTATGATCCCTTCAACTTTGATAAGAGGATCAAATTCTCTTTTACGATATTATAATAGTTATTAAAATGTAAATAAACATTCACCTGTATAAATTTCATAAATAACCCATCCTATTGAAAACATGTCCATTTTTATAAATTTTAGATTGATTCTTTAGTAAGATTGACAATAGATTGTATTTCTTGATTATCAGCATATTTCTCAGGAGCTAATGTACATTTTTGAATAGATGATTCATAAACATTTCTTATGACTTCAAATTCATTAGTATAATATGGTTTATATGATGCAAAGTCAGTCAAAACTAAATAATCTAAACTAGTAAGTAGAATATTTGATGAACGTATATGACCAGGATAACAATTTATATTATGTAATGTTTTTACAGCACTTAATAATTATAAAATGTAAAAATTCAGAATGCATTTTGGAAGTTTATAATTGGACTAAAGTCTTTCTTCAAGTGTCATATATAACATTTAACGTGAAATAGCTAAATAATCTTTATTACATTCATTCTACATTTCTTATGGAGATGGCTTCTCTATTTTACCAAAATTTATTAATCCAAGAAATGCCATTAGATTTGGATATGGATCAAATTATTCCATTAAATATTGAAAGTTTTAGAAATGGATATAAAGTTCATTATGTGTTAATTTTTTTAAAATTAAGTATACTTTAACAACTAAATTCTGATGATGCATTTTGTAATGTATGGACTTTAAAAGTTTATTGTCAGATAATCGTCTTTATCTAACTCCAATGTCTTATTCAGTATTGTGAGTTTCAAAAGATTTCATTAAATCAAGTCTTCCTCTATTATCAATCAAAGTGTTTCCCATTTTTATTTAAATAATCATTTTTTATATTTGTAATAGTTTATTAAAACAGTATAGTTAAATAAAATTATAAGCATCATTTAATAATCATTTTTTTATTATATTCAAAAGAATTTAAAGATTCTCCTTCTAATATAGATGAATTTCTATATAAAAATCAATCCAATCTCTTGCTTCATCATATAAAGTATTATATCTTTGTAAGTATTTTAACTTGAATACAGATTATAATTGGCTTTTAATAATTTAAACTCTTTATTTAATTAATTAATTTCAAGCTATCTATTAACTGAACTTTTGATCTAAATTAGTTATGTAACAGCTTAAATTATAATAATAATGTATATAAGATAATTTTTGTTAAATAACCATTTTCATCAAAAGAGATTTATTCTTAGATGTTAATCCTAGAATTGAAATTGTTTTTTCATGCTGATTCAAAATACTTGTCTATACTTTTGCTTTTTTAATAATATATTAATATTATCCTTTANATCAGGATACATAAACTCTCCTTTAAAATTAATGGCATAACAAACCTTTTGAATTAATTCATAAGTATCATATTCACAAATTGAATTATAAAATATATTAAATGCTTCTTTAGCAGTATAACGTTTATTTGCATTTAAATCAATTAGATTGCATATTAAATTTCTTATGATCCCTTCAACTTTGATAAGAGGATCAAATTCTCTTTTACGATATTATAATAGTTATTAAAATGTAAATAAACATTCACCTGTATAAATTTCATAAATAACCCATCCTATTGAAAACATGTCCATTTTTATAAATTTTAGATTGATTCTTTAGTAAGATTGACAATAGATTGTATTTCTTGATTATCAGCATATTTCTCAGGAGCTAATGTACATTTTTGAATAGATGATTCATAAACATTTCTTATGACTTCAAATTCATTAGTATAATATGGTTTATATGATGCAAAGTCAGTCAAAACTAAATAATCTAAACTAGTAAGTAGAATATTTGATGAACGTATATGACCAGGATAACAATTTATATTATGTAATGTTTTTACAGCACTTAATAATTATAAAATGTAAAAATTCAGAATGCATTTTGGAAGTTTATAATTGGACTAAAGTCTTTCTTCAAGTGTCATATATAACATTTAACGTGAAATAGCTAAATAATCTTTATTACATTCATTCTACATTTCTTATGGAGATGGCTTCTCTATTTTACCAAAATTTATTAATCCAAGAAATGCCATTAGATTTGGATATGGATCAAATTATTCCATTAAATATTGAAAGTTTTAGAAATGGATATAAAGTTCATTATGTGTTAATTTTTTTAAAATTAAGTATACTTTAACAACTAAATTCTGATGATGCATTTTGTAATGTATGGACTTTAAAAGTTTATTGTCAGATAATCGTCTTTATCTAACTCCAATGTCTTATTCAGTATTGTGAGTTTCAAAAGATTTCATTAAATCAAGTCTTCCTCTATTATCAATCAAAGTGTTTCCCATTTTTATTTAAATAATCATTTTTTATATTTGTAATAGTTTATTAAAACAGTATAGTTAAATAAAATTATAAGCATCATTTAATAATCATTTTTTTATTATATTCAAAAGAATTTAAAGATTCTCCTTCTAATATAGATGAATTTCTATATAAAAATCAATCCAATCTCTTGCTTCATCATATAAAGTATTATATCTTTGTAAGTATTTTAACTTGAATACAGATTATAATTGGCTTTTAATAATTTAAACTCTTTATTTAATTAATTAATTTCAAGCTATCTATTAACTGAACTTTTGATCTAAATTAGTTATGTAACAGCTTAAATTATAATAATAATGTATATAAGATAATTTTTGTTAAATAACCATTTTCATCAAAAGAGATTTATTCTTAGATGTTAATCCTAGAATTGAAATTGTTTTTTCATGCTGATTCAAAATACTTGTCTATACTTTTGCTTTTTTAATAATATATTAATATTATCCTTTACTTAGAAAATTTCAACCAATATTATATGATTTGAATTGACTTATATTTGTATTTCCTGAATTAAGGGGAAAAAGATCAAAATTTTTTGTAAGTTTAAATTAAAAATGAAGATTAATTTCTTTTACAAAATTTAATATAGATAGTTCTCTGGAAATGAATTAAAGTATAGAGAAGAAAATAAAAATGCTAGGAAAGATTTTCTTGTTACATTTGGATTCTTTTTCAAAATTTGAGATTATATTAACATTAACAATACTTTTGATTGTTTTCTATATTCTAATTAGTGTATCTAAAGATATTAATAGTAAAAACTATGTTAAAGTACAAATTTATTATTAATAATCATGTTAAATGAAAATATCGCTCTTGATTCAAAGGTAGAAAGAGGAATAGATGCACTGATATCAAAACTATATTCATCAGGTTCCAATCGATTTGAAATGGTTGTTAAATAAAATAATAGCGAATTGAAAATAATTTTAGAATTTATGTATTTAATAATTTTATAATTTTAGATGCAATAAGACATCATTTAAGCAGAAATAATTCATAGAATTAATAATAAAGGAATATTACTAATCCAATAAAAGTTCTAAAGAGAATAAGATTAAAGATTACCAGTCAGTTCAAAATTATTACAATTTTACTTATCATATATGATCAAAAATAGATAATAATCTGAGCTTTTATATTAATATTTAAAGATAGAATTAGTAAATGATAAAAATGATTAATTTTAATTCATAAATAGCTGGTTAAATAGAACTTTTTAATCAAAAATAAGTTATTAAATCATAGTATATTGAATATTAATTAGTACTAAGATAAGAGAATTTATTTTGATTAAAATCTCTATTTGTTAAAATAATTAGTATTCTTAAATTAAATAAATAGATCTGAAAAAGGTAGAAAAGGTTGATTGTAATTATGATTATTGATTATTCGCACAATCCCAATCATATGTTTTTGGAGATAAATGTTTTTTATAAAAAATTTGTGTCCTACAATAAATAATAGATTTGATTTCTATTACATCAAGTTTTACTTTAACAATTAAATTTATTTAACTCTATTTTAAATCGGATATCATATAGAAATAAATTGATAAAGAAAAAATAACAAAACTTTTTGGACTCTAAAATACTTTATGATTGCTACGAGAACTTACATGACATAGTTTCTAAGAAGCAAAGAAATCTGAATAGATTTAAATTCTATTTGAGTTTATATTTTATGTAAGAACAGATTTTAATATCATTAGATGGAGGGAGATAAATTTGAAATATCTTAATAGAAATGGTAGAGATAAAAATATAATATTTGAAGAATAATGGGGTATAAGAACAACTTTTCAAATCATTTTTATTTCGATATTTTTGAATCTCAGAATGAATACTTTATTTCATTTAAATCCTATAAAGGTTCTATTATAAATAAATTATTGTAAAAAAATGAATGATTAATCTAATTCATAGTTCTCTAAATTATGAATGAAATTTAATAAATTAATATTTTATATTTGTATATATTTTTAAGGGCTTCTTAATTTATTTTTTTGCATAAAGTTGAGTTGAGTTGAATAATTAAGTAAAAAACATTCACATAATTAAATAAGCAATTATTCAAAATTATATTTTTAAATAGATTGAAATACTTGAGATGTGTAAAAATTTAATTTAAATATCTTGAAAAATAGAAAAGTAAGTAAAAAATTTANGAATTGACTTATATTTGTATTTCCTGAATTAAGGGGAAAAAGATCAAAATTTTTTGTAAGTTTAAATTAAAAATGAAGATTAATTTCTTTTACAAAATTTAATATAGATAGTTCTCTGGAAATGAATTAAAGTATAGAGAAGAAAATAAAAATGCTAGGAAAGATTTTCTTGTTACATTTGGATTCTTTTTCAAAATTTGAGATTATATTAACATTAACAATACTTTTGATTGTTTTCTATATTCTAATTAGTGTATCTAAAGATATTAATAGTAAAAACTATGTTAAAGTACAAATTTATTATTAATAATCATGTTAAATGAAAATATCGCTCTTGATTCAAAGGTAGAAAGAGGAATAGATGCACTGATATCAAAACTATATTCATCAGGTTCCAATCGATTTGAAATGGTTGTTAAATAAAATAATAGCGAATTGAAAATAATTTTAGAATTTATGTATTTAATAATTTTATAATTTTAGATGCAATAAGACATCATTTAAGCAGAAATAATTCATAGAATTAATAATAAAGGAATATTACTAATCCAATAAAAGTTCTAAAGAGAATAAGATTAAAGATTACCAGTCAGTTCAAAATTATTACAATTTTACTTATCATATATGATCAAAAATAGATAATAATCTGAGCTTTTATATTAATATTTAAAGATAGAATTAGTAAATGATAAAAATGATTAATTTTAATTCATAAATAGCTGGTTAAATAGAACTTTTTAATCAAAAATAAGTTATTAAATCATAGTATATTGAATATTAATTAGTACTAAGATAAGAGAATTTATTTTGATTAAAATCTCTATTTGTTAAAATAATTAGTATTCTTAAATTAAATAAATAGATCTGAAAAAGGTAGAAAAGGTTGATTGTAATTATGATTATTGATTATTCGCACAATCCCAATCATATGTTTTTGGAGATAAATGTTTTTTATAAAAAATTTGTGTCCTACAATAAATAATAGATTTGATTTCTATTACATCAAGTTTTACTTTAACAATTAAATTTATTTAACTCTATTTTAAATCGGATATCATATAGAAATAAATTGATAAAGAAAAAATAACAAAACTTTTTGGACTCTAAAATACTTTATGATTGCTACGAGAACTTACATGACATAGTTTCTAAGAAGCAAAGAAATCTGAATAGATTTAAATTCTATTTGAGTTTATATTTTATGTAAGAACAGATTTTAATATCATTAGATGGAGGGAGATAAATTTGAAATATCTTAATAGAAATGGTAGAGATAAAAATATAATATTTGAAGAATAATGGGGTATAAGAACAACTTTTCAAATCATTTTTATTTCGATATTTTTGAATCTCAGAATGAATACTTTATTTCATTTAAATCCTATAAAGGTTCTATTATAAATAAATTATTGTAAAAAAATGAATGATTAATCTAATTCATAGTTCTCTAAATTATGAATGAAATTTAATAAATTAATATTTTATATTTGTATATATTTTTAAGGGCTTCTTAATTTATTTTTTTGCATAAAGTTGAGTTGAGTTGAATAATTAAGTAAAAAACATTCACATAATTAAATAAGCAATTATTCAAAATTATATTTTTAAATAGATTGAAATACTTGAGATGTGTAAAAATTTAATTTAAATATCTTGAAAAATAGAAAAGTAAGTAAAAAATTTATATTTATCTTTAAAATATTAAACTATTGGAATTACTGTTATAGAAATTAGTTTACTTGTATGAAAGAAACTACAGAGTTCTTAATATTATAGAATTAAAAAAGAATAAACTTGAGATATAAAAATTATTATTATAGGGCAGATTAAAGATAGTTGAATTGTGTAAGATAGATGATAAAGAACGAGTAATGTGTAGATTAATTCTAAAAGTAACTTAGATGAATACTTATGAATGTTTAGTTATTGACTCATAACAGCAGCGAATATTAAAAATAAAAAAAAAGATTCAAAAATGACAACTATTTTGCTATTCTTAAATTGTTATTAATTTAAATAACCCAATTAAGTATATATTAAGTCTACTTATAACATGCATTTAAATTTTTAGTATTGCAAAATATTTAGGAAATACAAGGTTTTACTTTATTTAATCTAAAATTCTAGAAGTTTTTGGGAGATTTTTGGTCTCATATGAAGAAAATCAATTATCAAACACTTACCAACTTATCTAATAGACTTCTTTTACATAAGAATTTATTTATCAGGATTCATCAATATGAAAAAATATTTTAGACCTCAGAGTTGTATTTAATCAGATGATTTATTTATGAACAAGAATTGTTATTATATTTATTATATCATAAAATTTAAAAATATAATAGCTTTGAATGTATAAAGATCAGAAATTAATTTAAAATTACCTTTACTGTTGTATACTCTATCTTATTAATTTAATTTAAAAATCAAAAAATAATTTTTTTTTGAAGAAATCTACTTGATTAAATTTATATCAAAATAAAAAGTTTAATATCTATATAAATTTAAAGAGGAGATAGGGTATTTTTATATTAATAAGTAAGTATGAAATTATAAAGAGTTCTCAAGATAGNTTTAATAAATTAATATTTTATATTTGTATATATTTTTAAGGGCTTCTTAATTTATTTTTTTGCATAAAGTTGAGTTGAGTTGAATAATTAAGTAAAAAACATTCACATAATTAAATAAGCAATTATTCAAAATTATATTTTTAAATAGATTGAAATACTTGAGATGTGTAAAAATTTAATTTAAATATCTTGAAAAATAGAAAAGTAAGTAAAAAATTTATTTATCTTTAAAATATTAAACTATTGGAATTACTGTTATAGAAATTAGTTTACTTGTATGAAAGAAACTACAGAGTTCTTAATATTATAGAATTAAAAAAGAATAAACTTGAGATATAAAAATTATTATTATAGGGCAGATTAAAGATAGTTGAATTGTGTAAGATAGATGATAAAGAACGAGTAATGTGTAGATTAATTCTAAAAGTAACTTAGATGAATACTTATGAATGTTTAGTTATTGACTCATAACAGCAGCGAATATTAAAAATAAAAAAAAAGATTCAAAAATGACAACTATTTTGCTATTCTTAAATTGTTATTAATTTAAATAACCCAATTAAGTATATATTAAGTCTACTTATAACATGCATTTAAATTTTTAGTATTGCAAAATATTTAGGAAATACAAGGTTTTACTTTATTTAATCTAAAATTCTAGAAGTTTTTGGGAGATTTTTGGTCTCATATGAAGAAAATCAATTATCAAACACTTACCAACTTATCTAATAGACTTCTTTTACATAAGAATTTATTTATCAGGATTCATCAATATGAAAAAATATTTTAGACCTCAGAGTTGTATTTAATCAGATGATTTATTTATGAACAAGAATTGTTATTATATTTATTATATCATAAAATTTAAAAATATAATAGCTTTGAATGTATAAAGATCAGAAATTAATTTAAAATTACCTTTACTGTTGTATACTCTATCTTATTAATTTAATTTAAAAATCAAAAAATAATTTTTTTTTGAAGAAATCTACTTGATTAAATTTATATCAAAATAAAAAGTTTAATATCTATATAAATTTAAAGAGGAGATAGGGTATTTTTATATTAATAAGTAAGTATGAAATTATAAAGAGTTCTCAAGATAGTATTGTCATATAATAATTAATTTTTATTATATGTTAATTTTTAATCTAAAACATTTTAAAATATTCCAAAAATTTTAATAATTGAAAAAGTAAAGAATTTGCAACATGATAAAGTTGCTTAGTATTTCCTTCATAGTAATCTTATATATAAAGATGGAGTCTATCAAAAATTATATGATATGTCTAGTTAGAATATTACAATTTAAGAAATGAAAAAAACTTTGATTTCACATTTGTTATTTATTTTTATATTCATAAATTATAATTAAAGCGATTTATATAATTCTTTGATGAAAAATAATTAGTCTTTCTAATATTTTTATCGGAATTATACAGATTTGATGAAAATATATATCGTACTAAATAGTTCTATTTATATTTATTTAAACTGCTTAATATATTATATAATCATTTTAAAATCATTGTTTAATATTATTTTTTTCTGTATTAACACAAAAACATCTTAATATTTTTCTAAATTGACTTAGCATGATAATTAAATTTCCGTAGATTTAAATAATAAAAAATTCTTCTAAATATTGAGAGGCAAATTATATTCTCTTGTTTAAAATTTACCCACGTAAAATGTCGAAACTACTTAATTTATAAAGATTTTGTTAAAGTCTCTATGTTGAAATATGGTATAATCCATTTGCATCTTAATATATCTATTAAGTTCTATCATCACAAACTTAAACTTTTCTAATCATTTTACCATTTCTTAATTATCGAATAAAGTATTTTTTTAATACAAAAACATACATTTCGACTATAATGTTATTATAAATAGAGATTTCAGGTTTATTTGATTAAATAATTACTTTTCTTGAATGTACAACATGTTAATTATTTCTAAAGATTATTTATTACTACTAAGATTTAACAATTAAAGCATAATTAGGATCAAGTACTTAGAAATATTTAATTTCTACATCAGTTAAGTAAGTGAATATTTATTTTTCATTCCATTTATCATTTTCTAAGGTAAGTTAAATAAATATTCCATCCTTTTAAAGATAAAAATTATTACGAATATCAAAAGTAAATAAAGTTAACTTTTATTTTATATAATCTATGACAAATTCTTTTTATTTCTTAATATCTATTATTACAATATTTTCCCCTCCATAACAAATTAAAAAGTTTGAATCCTATGAGTATTTTTAATATATATTTATCTGAGCATGAGATTTTAAATAACCTTAATATATTATCTACCACTTCTCAATATTAAAAATTTTGATTCTCAACTTCTTTATTTTTGATTTATTATTCTTAGGGCAATTTATCATTTAACCCTAAAATTTATTTTCAAATATAGATAAAATCTACTAATTTGGAGACACAGAGAAGTTAATAATATTTAAATATTATTTTATTTAATGGTCTATACTTTAGTTTCTATTTATAAATTTTATAGGATTTACTGCTCCTCCACTATATGTTCACCAATTAAAATAGTTTCGTCTATCTTTAATGATTCTAAAATCATAGTGATCACAAAATAAAATTTATTATTGAAATATATATATATAATTTATGCAAATAGTTGATTATACACTTGTAATGAATTAAAGATCAAGCATTATTAAAAAACTTGAATGATAGAGAAATGGGAATAATTGTATTAGATGTCATTGAGGTAAATTGATTTATATTCTTAAGAATTAGAAATAAAAATAAAAGAAATTTCTAGCATCTAATTTTTTATTGATAAAGTTACAGAAGACTAATTATAAAGCAACAATATTTTAAATTATAATATAATCGCAAATAATTAAAAATGAAAGATGATGCAATATTAATTTCAAACTTTTTAAATATTACCTTTATGAAAAAAAACACATAAAATTATTGATTTTTAATGAAGTTTCTGATACCTTAAATATTGAAAATTTTTTATTAAGGATATGATTGCTTAATATTATTAATCTTCAACATTTAGAGTATATTAGAATGAAAGAAAAGAACTTTTAAAATTTTTTAGAGATTATTTAAATTATTTAAAATGATATATATTTACTTCTTGATATGTATAATAAAAACTGTGTTTTCAGATTATGTAGTGAGATTGAATCCTGAAGAGCCTTATTGGATAGAAGAATTTGAAATAATAGATGAAATTATGATAGAGGGCATAGTATATAGATGGTGTTCATGGTTTTAATATCTTCCTTTAAGCTCAATATTTTATTCTGAATCATTTGGAGTATTGGATAGCAATTGTTTTCATTTATTTAGTTCTATTGAGAAGGAATCAAAAATATTAAATTTCTTACACTATGATTGTTTAGATTTGATAGAAATGACTATCACTAAAAAGATTTAGTTTATTGGAAGTGATAATTTGTAATATAGTTTTGAATTCAATATAAGTCCTTTTGAATATGAAAATTAATGGTATTATTTTGATTTTATTATATTTCCATATAATAATTAAATTTAGATATTACTAATAAAGAATGAAGAAATTATTAAAGATGACATTTTAAATATAGTTCCATTATCAAATGTGAGATTGCTTTAAAAAATAGGAGGAAGTCTATAGGTTCAAGAATCAAGGTTAATAAATATTGAAAAAGGAAGAAAGTTTGCATCACTTCCAGGTAAAATTATTCTAATTGAAAGTGATACTAGAATAAAGAATTTTACTAGGTTTGCTCTTGATATGAGTAGGTCAGGTAAAATATGTAATTGTTAAAGTAATCCTGAAAATAATTTGGGTGATTAAGATTTTTTAGAACTTAACACAATAATTTATAATTCAAAAAATTCTAATTGTAATTAATTTCTATTTTCAGGATGGTTTAAAATAACAGAAATAATATAGAATAATGAAGAAATGTTCTATTAATTTATTAAGTTATCATCAAATTTATAAAATAGCTAACTATCAAATTAAAATTTGTGTCCATTTTAACTATTTTATATGATTTAAGAAGATACTAAGAAATTGATAATAACCAGTTATAGTTATTATTTCCCATCTGTAATTTTAGATTTCACAAATAACCCTTTTTTAATAACTAGAGAATTTAATATTAATCATAATATTTAATTATGGCATCTTGTTTATGTAAGATTAATAGAAAATGACTTTTATGTTAATATCAAATTTTATGATAAAAAATAAGTATATGAATATAGCATGTAAGTAATGGTAAATTAATTCCATCAAATATATTATAAACTTATATTAGGAAATTGTTTAAAATCAGCGATTAATTATTTAAATATAATGAGTAGAAACTTATATTTTTTTAATTGTAATACAAATTTTTAATAATAAAATTGTCATCATAGTTGTGAAGAATGTGATGGTCCTACAAATTAAGATTGTTTATCTTGCTCTTAAGATTAATTAAGAATTTATCTTCCTTAATTTAAATAATGTATTTGTCCTTATTTTACAATTGATAATTATGGTTGTAAGAGTTATTAAGATTTGAATTTTCAATTAATAACTAATGTAGAATAAAATATGGAATGTAAATATGGATAATTTGAATTAGATGGATTTTGTTATGATTGGTAATTCTATCATTATTATAGTAGTCCTGGAATAATAAATTAAGGAATGATAACATGTTTAGATTGTTTATTAAATCCAAAAGAATGGTATAAGAATCCTACTTGTAAAGAATATATTTATTCAGATCAAGATGGAAGTACTTACTAAAAAAATAATAATCGATGGAATTACTATCATATTTTTAATGGACTAAACATTGAATTATGTGTAGAATGTGGATAATCTAGTATAATAGACTAAAATAATATCTATTAAGATAATAATTTTAAATTATAATAATTTAAATAATTTTGTGTTAATGAAGAATCTTCTAATTAATGTTATAAATGTTCATTGACTTATTGCAAGTTTTGTAAGATTTTAATAACAGGAGAAGTATGTCTAATGTGTGATTAATCTAGTAAACTTAATAATGGGGAATGTACAGAAATTGTTTTAGGATTAATAGAAGAAAATAATTGTATATCGCCTTATTATATTTCTTCAACTAAATAATGTTTACGTTGCTCTATAAATAATTGTTTGCACTGTTTTGAATATGTTCCTGGAGATTTAACAAAAAGTTCACTCTACAAGGATTTCAAGTAATTTACTGGAGATGAAAATTTAAAAATAGGATGTGCATTATGTGATAATGGATATCTTTTTGATTTTCAATTAGGAATGTGTTTAAAATAGATTTCTAAAATTGACACTTGTTTAAGAAGTTATATTAATTTGTAAGGTAGAGAAATATGTACATTATCTAATAAATAAGATTTTTAAATTGCGAAAGAAATAATAAATTGTGAACATTTAATCCCTAATTGTCTTCAATGTTTTATTACAGTCTAATAAATTTTGAAATGTATTGTTTGTGAAGAAGGTTATGTTAGTATTACTACTGAAGTGAATGGAAGATGTTAAATTAGTTAAAATTAAAATGCAAAAATAATTATATAGGGTGATTATTTCTAAAAAGATGCATGGATGTAAAGAATTCAAAGTTTTATGGGATCATTTTTACCAAATTCTTATTTTTATCCTTAAACTAATTCTTTTTAAATTGCTGAAATAGCTTTATCTTGTAAAGATGGCTATGAGTTGGTTGAATATAAATAATGTATTAAATATTGTAATCCTGATTGTGAATAATGTAAATTACATCCTTTAAATTTGTTTTATTATTGTAATAAATGTCCATTAAATTATTATAAATAGCCTTAGAGATCTTAAGATAATGGAAAATGTTTACAATGTAACCCATTATGTTAATTTTGTGAATCGAGAACACTTGAACAAATATTTGTAATATTTTTATTTATAGAACTTAGATAATTTAACCCTATTTTATTGTAAATTAAAACAATGAATAATATTCTAAAAAATGTATTCAATCAACATTTGAATCCAATGTTAGACTTTTTCCATTAAAACAAATTCCTGTGTTTTGTTTAAATGAATAATGTAATAATCATTTGTTATATGAATTTTATTTGAATTAATGTTCTAAGGAATAATATCAAATTGATCAATTTTTAAATGCTGCAAATATAAATTATCTAAATTAAATTGGAGTCTAAACTCTCATTATTCAACTTTAATATTAACCTAACGAATAATGTACTGGTTCAATTAAAATCAATTCTATCAAACTTAAATAAAATATTTTCTCTTTAGAAACAGCTGGCTTAAATATTTTAGGAAATTAAATTTTATTTTACGAAATGTATGATTCATATATTTTTGAAAACTTTGAAATAATATATATGACTAATTTTACAATCAACTTATTTAATACAACTTTTAATTTTTTAGGAAATACAAAATTGAAATTTACAATGAAAAATATTAAGTTTGATGGATATGAATAACATCGAAATAAATTACTTAATTCAGAATTATTTGAAAGTATCAATTTAGTAAATATTACATTAATTAACATTGCTTTTATAGAATCATCATTTTTTTAAATTGAATCTTCTCATTTAGAAGGATAAGTGTACATTAATTAATTGTTCATTTTCAATTGTACATTTATTAATACTAATCTATTTTCAATTACAAATAGCTTATTATCAATATTAATTGACAACTTTTAAATTGAAAATTGCACATTGTTTAATTCATCTATTTTTAAAATGAAATAAAATGTTACAATAATAACTTAAATATCAAAAGTTCTAGTTCAAAATTGTAAATTAACTAGTTCTTTCATTTTTAATTATGGCAACTAAGTTAAATTAGAGATTGTTAACTTATAACTTCAATAAAACATATTTTATAATTCAAGCTTTTTGATTTTTAATCATAATATTTCTATAATTGATGCAAATATAATAGATAATATATTAGATTAATCTATTTTAATATAAGCAAATGATATTGATACAAAAAATTTTGTTATTTTTTCTATAGATTAACTTACAATAATGAATTTAAAATTAGTGAATTCTAATTTACTTTATTTCACTTCTTATTAGATTAATATAATATTTTAATTTAATAATTTGATTCTTTAGAATATTGAAACATCAGAAACATCTAATTAATAATTACATCTTTTTAAAATTATACACTGTTTAAGTTGCTCTATAAATTAAGTTTAGATTTTAAATACTAATAATTTTCCAATATTTTATTTTTTTGAAAGCAATAAGATTTTAATAGAACATCTTATTTTTTAATAAAATAAATAAAGAAATTAAATTAATTACTGCTAATAGGGAGATAAATTTAATAATTAGTTACTTTTTATTTAAGGATTTGCATTTATTAAATTAAAATAGCTTGAAATAAATAATTATGAAAATTTTAATTAAACATTTATAGAAATAATATCATCATTTTATTATTTAGAATATACAAATGAGAATATAGAAATATCTGATACTGTATTTATAAATAATATAATAAAGAAGGTTCATTAAAGAAATATGTTATCTATAATAAGTATATATTCTAAAATAAAATAAATTGTTGTATTTGAAAATCTGTAATTTTTTCATAACTTTTTTCATCAATATGATGATGATCCAACTGAAAATTTTGCTGGTTTAATATATATAGATTCAACATTAGGTGAAATAACTATTAATAATTTGTTTTGTAAAGAAAATGCAATAACTAATTCATTAGCATCCTTTATTTTTATAATTTCACAAGCAATCATATTTAAAAATAATATCATAAGCAATCATAATGTAATTAATTAATAATTATGGAGTAAATTTTATCAATTGGATCTTGAGAGATAATATGATTAAGATCAAATTAATTAAATTATTCAATAAATTTATCCTATTAAAGTTTAAGGAGGAGTGGCAAAAATAATATCTGAGAAATTTGTTTGTAATAATTCAATATTTCAAAATATTTTAGCTTTAACAAGTGCTATCTTCGATATTAAAACTTAAGGTCAAGGATTAATATAATTTGTTAGTATTTCAATTGAATCAATATCTTCTATTTATAAATATGGCACTGATAATTTCGGATGTATAAATATTAATTCCTAAAATAGTAATTTAAATTTAGAAATATCTAATTCGAATTTTATAAATGTATTTAATGCAATGAGTACTGTTTTATTTTCTATCAGTCCATCTTAAATAAAAGCCGAAATATAATTAAAGAATATAGAAGTGAGAAACTGTTTCTCATTCATAAATTAAATAATTAAAGTCTAATTTTCATTAAACAAAGAAAATACTTAATTTGAACTTAAAATGTTTAATATTAGATTAATATTTGAAGAACAAGCTTGGATTAAATATTTTTCAAAATATAAACAAATTGATTAAATTACTTAAATTAATGAAGATAATGGAATTTTTAATGTAATAGGAGGTTAAATTATAATAGATTAATTTGCTATTTAAGGTATCATATTATCCCAGATATTTAAAATTGTAAATTCAATATAATTGTTGATAAAAAATGTGTAAATATGTGATATTTATGCTTTTTATTAATTGCCGTTAATTCTTCTTGATCAATAATTAAATTCAATTGTTATACTTTAAAACATAATTATTTAACGTTTTTCAATTTATTAAATGAATTATCATGAAGAAGACATTAATAACAAGCAACAATTTGTAATCATTTAATGTTAACTTCATAAATTAGACTTAAAAGATGATTATAGTTCTTAAAATTTTCTAACATAAAAAATTTCATTATTATAAGAATAATCAATTAAGATAGGTTATCCATTAATAAAATTTATGAGTTCAAACAATTAGGTAAGGTTTATAATAAATTAAATTAAGTTAATATAAAATAATTGTTTAAGTTGTTCAAGAGGAATTTTATTTTTTGATCTAAGTGAATTTAATTATGTAAAAATTTATGAGCTTTTATGTATTTATAATTAAATAAAAGAGATTGGTTGCTTAAATTTTTAGAGTAACTAAAATAATAAAAAAAAAGTTTCTGTATAATATTCTGATTTTATTTAAAATAATGGTAGTAAAGGAGGTGCGATAAATGCTGAAAATATACAACTATATTTAAGTAAATGCAAAATAATTGGTAATATAGTAAGTAAAGCAGGAGGAGGTATTTACGTTGATATAAATAAAAATGAATTTAAAATAACCTAATCTATTTTGATATTAAATAAAGCTAAAGTAGGGGGAGGTATTTATATAGCAAGATAAAATGTAAAAAACGATGATAACCTTTCATAATGCTTTTTTCTTTTTAATTAAGCTGAAAGTTATGGAGATAATTTAGTTGAGAATCCAACTCATCTAAGTCTTTCTATTAATAATAAAGAAATAATGTCTAAATAAATGGATCTAGGAAACAATACTATATCATTCTCAATAATTAAACCGTATAATATTATTGAATAAGGATATTTATTAACAGCAAAGCAATTAATTATTCCAAGTAATTAGAAGATTAGTAATTATAAAATATATGTTCCAAAATAACAAATATTTCTAAATTATATCGAAAGTATGCTAATATCATTTAAAAATCGATATAATGAAAAATTAGAAGATTTAATTAATTCATCTTGTTATGTTAATGCAACTATACTTTATAAAAATAATAAGAATACATTATAAGATAGAATATAAAATTTAGAATTAGATTAAGATTAATAAGGTTTTGATTTAAGTTTTCTATCTTTTAGTTTTGATCCTTATGATTCTGATTTATCAGTATTATAAATAGAATTGAATTGTTATTTTTAATTGATGGATGAAAAGTTATAACTTTAAATTTATGCTAAAACTCTTAAATGTTAGTTAGGAGAATTCTACATAGATAAAGGTTGTTAAATTTGTTAATCAAATTAAGGATTTTATACTGTAACTTATAACTCTACAAAATGCTCAATATTTGACAAATAAAAATTTGAAAATATATCATCGAATTAAATTAAATTGTATCCAGGATATTGGAGACCTGATTACCTTTCAGATTATACAGAAAGTTGTTTTAAGAATCCTACATTTTGTATTGGTGGTTGGAATGTTGGAAATAATCTATGTAGTAAAGGTCATTTAGGAGGATTATGTGAAGAATGTGATAATTTTAATTTAAGAGGGGATGGATAATTTTATAAAAATTTAGAAGATTTTTAATGTTTAGAATGCAATCAAATTTGGAAAAGTATGATACCATTTATATTTACTTCGATTTGGTATTTTATTAAATTAATTAATATTAAGGGCATTATTATCAATTTTAATCACTTTAAGAAGTATTGAAATATCAAATAAGTTGTTCTCATCTCTTAAAATTGGATAAAAGTATAGTAAAATCATATTTAAATTAAATTAAGGTAATTAGATATTAATATTATAGATCATGAAAGTATTCTTATTAAAATGTTACTTAATTATTTATGGATATTTTCAGTTGTTTTTAATTTTAATATCACTTTTTCTATTTCTTTTAATTTTATTGAATAAACAAGTAATACATCATATTTTATGGCTAACAATTTGGATTGTTATTTATCTTAAATCTAAAATATAGAATTAATCTATTTAAGATTAATATTTATGATGATATTGATTATAATTCAACTGTTAATAATTTGGATAGGATTTGCTATTTAAGCTAAATGTAAGAAATAACTATTGAATAGAAGTATCATTTCAAATACCTTATTATATTTATATGTATCAAATTATGCTGCATTAATTAAATAGTAATCAAAAATAAATTATTATTATTTAGGTTTAGTTCAATTATTTCTAATAGATAGATTTCATAAATTTCATATATACAAGGAGATGTATCTCTTTTATATGGCACTGCTAATCATATTTCATGGATTATTTATTTTGCTATTCCAGGTTTAGGAATTTTTGGTCTGTTTATTCCTTTCTCTTTATTTTTCATATTGTACATAAATAGAAAATAATTGGATAAAATAAAACTCAGAAGACATATATGCTATTTGTTTAATGAATATAATAGCGAAAGTTATTATTGGGAATCAATTAAATTATCAAAGAAAACTATTATTATTATAATCTTGACATATTTTGAAAGCAATATTTTTTTAAAAGCATCTCTTTTAGGATTATGTTTATTAGTTTATTAATTGGCAACTGTAAAACACAAACCATATATAATTTCAAGTTTAAATTTTTTAGATATTCAAGCAGGATAAATTTGCTCAATAACTATATTTATTGCTGGAGCTAATTATGTAAGCGAATAAGAAAATAACCCAAATTTATCAATCATTTTATAAATTTGTATTGTTCTACTTTGTATTAGATTATGTTACCCATTTATTATTAAAATTTTTTCAGTTTATTTTAAGAAATACAAAATTCCTTTTCTAGGAATAATATATAAAATTTCTAGATATCTAATGCCAAATTTTTCTCTTACTAAATATTTTAATAATTAACTCAAAAAATTAAACTTAATAGAATCACGTCTTAAAAACAATTTTACAAAAATACGTTACCATTTAAAATCATTATCAAAGGCTTAAAAAGGACATTAAAAGTAATAAAAAAATTAAAATAGGCAATTTATTTCATTGATTAGTTCCATACAAACAATCAGATTTCCATAAACTATTGTAGATGTAGAAATGAACAAATTGATTAGTCCTTGAATGGAGGGAATTTTAGAATATGGTATTGAGAAATTATGTGGATTGAAAATTGATTGTAATACCATAAATATTATATAAATTTAATTACATAAAATTATTTTTATATATTTGTTTCACAATATGGAATAGAGAATTAAATAAATTTCTTATATGGTTTTATTAACATAAATTAAATTTTAGGTATGATGATTAAAAAAATAAAAAATAAAATACAAAGAATAATATATAAATCAAAAAAGTCATGATTTCAATTCCAATTATTCATTTAAAATTAAACTGGAAAACTTAAATCCTCTCTACATAAAAATAAAATACATTCAATTTATCTTTTCAAATTGATATTATAAATATCCATTTTATCTTACATATTCAAGATAAAAATCTTACACAAAACTCCAAAATTTACTTTAATCTAATTATTTTTCTTTGATATGTTCACTAAAGGATTTTCAACTCAATCTTATATTCAAAAATTTGATTAACTACTTAAATTCTAAGTTTTTAAATTGATAAAAATAAGACTTCATAAAAATAATTAAACAGAGGTCAAAATAAAAAACGATAACACAATATCTAATCTATTTTTATTTTTTTTTTGTAAAAATTTATAATTTTTAATTTTAAATTAAAATTCTTCCTTTAATAATTATTATTCTTCAGATCAACTAATATTATTGTTGTTAAAATCTTCATCTTTATTTGCTTAAATATATTCATTTATTTCTTTTTTCAAATCTTACTTTTTTAGTGGTTTTAAATAAACAATTTTTCCCCATTTATTAAAAATAATGGTAAATGGAGTGTTCTTGCCATTTATTATTTTTTAAAAATCTTTATTTTCTTGAGAATCAGGCTTTTGTCTATAATGATCTACTTTTTACCATTTTTTTTATCTTGCTATATCAATAATTTATATTTCTGATCCAGAAATTGATTTGTAGATAATCTTAGCTTTTTCAGCCCATTAAACATTCTATTCAAATATATGAAAAGCATCATCCAAAGAACCTCTAGTGGTAATATCTTCAATTTTCTAAATTTGTATTTTAAAATACCCAGAGTATTATTAAATATACTATTCCATGTTCTATTTCTAAAGAGCTTTCTTAAATTTTGACATAATCATAGATTTCAAATTTAATTCTTTAGATTGATAAAAGTTAATCGAATTGATTCCCTAAATAAAGTCTTGGTTTTATCGACTTAAGCAATTTTTTAATTGTATTTTAATCTTTTTCATTCAAACTTTTAATCATCTAATCTGCATAATTTTTAATCTTAAAGTACAAAGCAGCTTCTTCTAATTCAAAGGGCTTTTCACCCTTGTAAATTATACTAAATTCATTTCTATAACAATTTACTTGATCGACTTATACTCTGAAAAATAATATTTAAATTCAATCACTACTGAATTTGGTGAAATTCTCTTAATAATTTTTTGAAAACTATTTTCAATTATTTATATGACATTTTTAATTATATAATTAAACTTTAACATTATTAGTTTATTTGATTAAGCATTGCTAAAATAAGTTAATTGGATTCAGGAGAATAATTTACTACTATTTTCAATGAACAATATATAAGCTTTTGGAAGAATCATTTCCTCTTTGATATGAGAGAATTAATTAACTGAATTGTTAAAAATAGGAAAAACAACTATTGAGTTTTAATTACTCAAATAAAAATAGAAATACTTGCTATTTTGATTTTGATTTATTACTAATAATATCTATTATTTAATAAAAATCATTAAAAAAAATTTTAATTATATTTTTAGAGCAGAAAATGTAACAAAATAGTATACAAATTGCTAATTTGAAAAAAATTATAAAGATGATGAGTTTTTATCATTCATAATTATCCGAAAAAAGAAAATAACATTAGGTGTTTCTCGATTAATAATATTTAAAAAGTGTTTTTTATTTCTTAAAAGTTAGGATAAAGAGTCAAAATTATAATTAATTAAAGGAATAGAAATAATTTGAAGGAAAAAAATAAAAATAAAGTCTATTTTGAAATAAATTATTTGTAGGATTAAAAATAAAACTTAATTATATAGAAAGGAATAAAAATAAGTAATATAAGAAAAATATTTTAAAATGATCTAAGCTTTATTCCAAATTTTAAATAAAAAATTATATAATATACTTGTATATTTCTAAGGCTTCTTCAAAACGGCTCATATCACATAAAAAGTTAGGTAATTTATTCACTAACTAATATTATTTTGTTACCATCATCTGAATTATTTTTAGTTTCATTTTTTATTTATTTAATAATTTTCAATTCTTCACTCCTTTCTTGTAACTTAGCTTGTATTTAGCTAAGAAATTTAAAAAGATCCTGTTAATGCTAATTTATATATTTAAAAGGGTTAAAATTTATTATTATGACTTTTAAGGTGAGATCTTACGGTAAATCACTAGAGAGAATGAAGCATTAATTTAATTTGATTTAGCTATTGAAAGAGATATATAAAATTCATTTTTCTATGCGTATAAATAATTTATTTAGCCATATCATTATTGCATTTAAAATTGTATTATGAATATGCAATAAAATTACAGCCTAGATGTTCAAGTTATTACTATTTGAAAGGTGACAATTTCATTTATTTGATAAATTTTGGAAAATTTGTAACTTTTAGAATAAGCTTTAAAGTGTTTTAATTGTGCAGTAAATTTAGATCCGTTAGATGCTGATTATCTTATTGATAAAAGTGCTAATTAATTTTTATTATTTGAAGTGATCATTCTAAAAGATTTGAATCATTTTGAAGAAGCATTATAATGTATTGATTAGGCAATTCACTTAGATTCGAAAAATGATCTTTTTTTTTATTATAAAGGTACAATTTGTTTTTTTAAATAATTAGGATGTGTACTTTTTTAAAAAAAGCAATATCAAGAGGCTTTATTTGAATTTAATCATGCTATTTCCTTAAATCCTAAAATTGTTTTATATTATTCTTGGAAAGGTAACTATGGCATAAGTCTTTAAGCTATGATTTTAATTAAGCTTGAGCTTTTTGAAGAAGCTGATTCATTTTGCAATTAAGTACTTTCAAGTGGTCTATAAGATGCTTAATTTTATTAAATGAAAGGTGATTTGAAATAAATTTTTAGCTATAATTTTAAGAAGATTGAATCGATTTAAGAAACTTTAGAAGTTTAGGATCATGCAATCTAGTTAGATCCTGACTATCATAATTATCAACACAAAGGTTTATTTATTTGTAAATGATTAGCTATTATTTTAATGTATATGGGCCGATCTGAAGAATCTTTAAAAATCTAATATTCAGTTATTTAAATGAATCCTGAAAATTCTTAATCGCATTGGATTGATGGTTTCAGATATTTAAATTATAGCACATATCTTAAGTAAGGTTTATCGTTTAGAAGAAGCTTTATAATTTTTTGATTCTGCTCTTGCAAAAGATCCTAAAGAAGCTAAATATTATTCAGAAAAAGGCAATTAGAGTATAAAATTTAATAGCTGACACTCTTTATGATATGAATCGTTTTGAAGAGGCTTTATAATCATGTAATTTAGCAATATTAAACGATCCTGAAAATTCTCTTTATTTTTATATTAAAGGTGATGCCATTTAAATTCAATATATATAGGAATGATTTTATATGAAATGAAGCAATATAGGGAAGCTTTAATATGTTAAAATTAAGCAATTTAAAATAATTCTTAAGAGTCAAAATACTATTTTCTGAAAGGTAATGTTAATTTCTATTTTGAGCAAAAACATTGGCGAAAATTGTAGAAAAAGGTTCAAATATTTATAAATTTAAAGCAAAAATATTACATTAAATCAAGTGTTATGAAGAATCTTAGGAAACGTCAGAAATTGCAATTTAATTAAATCTAGAAAATCTATCTATAAAAAGGTTAATTAATAAATTAGTTTCAAGGATTAACTTTAAAAGGTTTGAATAGATTTGAAGAAGCTTTAGATTAGTATGGCTATGCTTAGTATATAAACCCAGAAGAACCCTAAATATATTTTTTTAAAGGTAGAATTAAATAATAATAAAAAGCTGCTACATTGTAAGGGAGGAATCGTTACAGGAAGCTTTAGAAAATTATGATATTGCAATTTAAAAAAATCCAGAAAACTCTAAATATTATTTTGAGAAAGGTTTGAATTAAATTTATTTGGAATAGCGAATATTTATTCAAATAAAATAAAATTAAGAAAGCACTACTGTCTTATGATTTTGCATAAATGATAGACTAAAATAATCTAAAAATATATCTTTAAAAAGGTTAATATTTTTTAGCTTTTTGTTTTATGAAATTGGATCATGTAAAAGAAGCTATAAGTGAAATAGATAAAGCAATATATCTTGATCCTCAAAGTTCCATTTTATATCAGTTCAAAGGTAATACAATACTAATTATTAGCTACTGTATTTGATTCTTAAAACTAATATGATGAAGCATTGCTATTTTATGATTAAGCAATTCTAAATGACCCTGAGGAATTAAAAAACTACTATTTTTAGAAGTTTTTTTCTATTGAATAGCTAATCAATTAGTGAAAATGAAATGGTTTGAAGATTCTATAAAAAATTATGATTATGCTATTGAGAGAAACCCAAGTGAATTTGAATATCATTATCATAAAAGTAATAATTATTTTTTATAAAATGTTAGAAGAAGCACTAAAATAAATAAATAAATTAAGGGAGTTATCTTACTATTCAATTTAAGAATAGTAATGAACATTCGATAGATTTATTAATTAAAGTTATATGATATTAACATATTTTTATAAATTTGATTTTTGAATGTTTAGAAAAATAAAGAAATCATCATTCTGTATGTTATTGTCGAACCTTCAATAAAAAATCATCTAATTTAAAGAATACCTGGCTGTAAAAAGTATTACACGACTTATTGAAAATTCAGCGTTAATATTCTATTGATACATTTTATTTTTAATTTTAAAATACACATTTTTTCAATTCTTATAGTAATAGCAATTTATTTATAAAAGTAATAGAAATTTAGCAAAATGATATTTTGTGATGATCATCCATCAAATCCAATTGTATTTATTTGTACTGGCAATCATAATTGTAAAAGAAAATTGTGCGCTTAATGTCAATTTGAGCATAAAGTAGCATCTAATAAAGATTTTATTCCAGCATAATTGTTTTAAAAAATAATTGAAGAAAAAATAGATTAAGTCAAAAATCATCCTAAATCATTGCAGGATCGAATTAAAAAAGATTTCAAAAGTTTTATAGGTGAAACTATAAATATTTTAAAAATATAATTGGATATTATAATAGAATAAATTTTATAAAAATTTGAGTAACTTGAAAAAGAAGATTAAAGGTATTCTAATATATTTGAATCTGGTATTCATTTATTAGAATTATCATAACAAGATCTTGACTTTATAATTGGAATTTTAAATAATTAATTAGAAAGATGGTTAATATACAAGGATAATTATTGTATATAATTAAATAATACAATCAAAAATTTTAAAAAAGATGCTGAAAATTATCATTAATAAATTAACTTAGTCTAAGAGAAAATTGCTTCAATGGAGTAAATATATTATTATATATTTCTTTAGAAATTAAAAATGTTAAGGACTGAAGAAGTTTTTCACAATTTTATAAAAAACTGAATTTTAAATTTCTTATTCAAAAGATATTAAGATTATCTATTAATAGGATGGAGAGATACTTAAAATGTAATTATTACTTATTTAAAAAGTGATGAAATAGAAATATATTAAAATAAACCTGAATCAATTATAAATTTAGAATAGATTAAACATTTAACTTGGAAGGGTTAATTAGATAAAAATTAAAAAAAAGTTGGAAATTGGTATCCTCTTTGGAAAGGAGAAACTATAAATGCTGGTGGAAATTATGGAGATGATGGAAAAAAAATTGGAGATTGGGTAGAATTAATAGATAATTTTTGGGAGTATTTTAAAATTCAAAATAATAGTTAAGCTTAAGTATTTGAAATAGGAAAATATTAAAATAATTATAAATGTGGGATATGGGATATTATAAAGAATTAAAAAAAAATGTATTTATTGTCTATTGATATTTAAAGTGGTGGCGGTGAGTATATAAAAAATGGAATTAAGAATGGAAATTGGACTCAATTAGATAATAATTATTATGAGTATTTATTTAAAAAAAGTAAAGGGGGAAAAAAGTTGTTTATAATGGTAAATATTTAGATGGAAAAAAATGTTAAAAATGGAATATAATTTTAGATGGAGAATGCATGTAAAAATTATTCTTTATTTCAATAGTGGAGGAGGATCTTATGATGATGATGGATAAAAAGATGGAGAATGGAGAGAATTACATTTTAATTTTAATGAGTTAATAAAATTATTATTTTTTAGGAATAACCGAATAACTGAAATTGGAATTTATAAAAATGGAAAAAAAGTTGGAAAATGGGAAATCAAGAATGAAGGAAATTAAATAATGTCTAAAAAATTATAATTATTTTTTAGTGGTGAGGGTACTTTTGATCAATGTGGTCTCAAAAATGGAAATTGGGTAGAATTACATGATTATTATTCAGTGTATCTTATTAATAAATTTCAATTAGGCAAAATTAAATTACTTATTTAGGTGAATATAGAAATGGAAAAAAATGTAACAGATGGGATACTAAATTTAAAATAGAAGAAGAAGTTGTTCAGGAAGAAATCATGTAAAATTTATAAATAAAATTTTTAGAGGAGAGGATATTATAATCTATATGAATAGAAAAATTAAAATTGGTTAGAATTGCATGATAATTTTAATAAGTAAATAAAATTTTAACCAAAAATCAAGTTCTTCATAGGTGATTTAAATAGGAGAATATTAGAATTGGAAAAGAAAAGGAAGATGGAATATAATGTATAGAAAGGATTTTAAATCAGTTTTTGAGTAAATGTAAATTAAGTGGTGGAGGAGTTTATGATGAAGAAGGTAATAAAACTGGAGATTGGATCGAATTAAATCAAAACTTTTCTAAGTAATAGAATATTGAATAAAATAGTTAAGCTTAATTAGCTTATTCTGGAAAATATAAAAATGGGAAAAAACATAATTAATGGGATACAATATACAGAATAAGTGATAAATAAGTTTTCATTAAGATGTAATAGATTATATTATTTTATATCTTTAGAGGAGGAGGATGTTATGATGAAAATGGATTAAAGGATGGTTTATGGATAGATATACAAGACAACTATGATAAGTATTTAATAATAATAAGTTTAGACATGCTTAAGTAATTTTTAAAGGCTAGTATAAAAATGGAAGAAAAGAAGCTAAATGGGATATTATCTATAAAGATTAAAATATGTCTAAAATTTAACAAATAATGTATAAAATTTTATCACATTATAAAGAGGTGGTGGAATTTAATACTTTTAAAAAACAAGCTGGAAAATCATAATATTAAATTTAGTAAAAATTATTTAAAGTTTATTTTCATTAGTGACATAAATGCAAAATGAGTTATCTAATACAAAAACAAATGAATTATTTTTATCAATCAAATAATCAACATTTTTAATTGTTAAAATCATATAATTTAATTAATTTAATAATTTGACTATTATTAATCTAATTGCATCATTTTTGAGGTTGCAGTTTTGCAAATCTTTTATATAAAAAGAATTAGTAATCTATTTAAAACAACAAAGATAAAGAAATAATAAAGAGGTCAATATCAGTCTTTACAAAAAATAGTTTATTATAAAATTCATAATTTTTAACTTACTATTCAGTTAATTAGGGTAATAGTACAATAAATGTAAAACATAGGATAACTTTTAGTTAGAATCTTCTTATAAATGATAATGATTTCTTTTTTCAAGGATATTGTAGTTTTTAACTAAAAGTTTTCAATTAAATTAATATCACTATCATTAAGAATATAATTTTTATTTTTATGCAATTGTTAAAACTGTTAAGTTTTCCCCCTTAATTAATGAAAAATTTATCAACTTGAATTACTTATATCTTTTGATAATTAAGAATAATATATATAATTATGAGAGAATAAAGAAATTTGTGATAAAAAACTGAAATGATATGAAAAAATTAAAAAAAATATTTTCTTTCAAATTTAATTTTTTAATCATTTTTTAAAAGAAAACAAATACTGGAAAATTTCTCAATATAT